GTGGTGTCCGCATTAAAGGAAGCAATATAGCACGATTGAGAGTGACTATTACAAGATGTTGATGAAAATTCTTGAAGTAGAGTATCCCGCATTACCAATCAAGAGAACAATATTGTTCAAATTTGATTAGTTTGATCCCACAACACAAGGAACAAGAGTTCATGCATCATATAAAATTATGGATGTTAATTGTAAAAGAACCTTGAACAATTATGAACTATTTATCCTAGCATCACAATCAGCTCAAGTGTATTATATGGAGTATCCTAGCTTAGGGCATGAGAATCAAGATTGATGGGCTATATGTGAGATCAAAGCTAGGTCCGTGTTTGACTTCCCCGATTCATCGGGTACCATATAATAAAATGCTGAACCATTTTAGCAGGACAATCCAAAAATTCACCACAAACTAATAGAAGAAGTTAAGGATGTCACTTTGTTGAATGATCCAAATGGATGGTTCGTAGATATAAAAGTACGTCCGATTGACAAAGAAAATAATTGTGAGAAAGTGTCGAATGATGGAGATGATAACTTAAAAAATGATTATGATAGTTCTAATTAAATTCATATTTCATTTGTTGTATTAGTAAGAAATGATGTAATTTTTATCTCTTTATTAATTTGTTACATACGATTAATTATATCCGCTTTTCTACCTCCACTAAATATTTGTTATCTATTTTGATTGTTTTATATTCATAAAAAATGATGTATTTTAATTTAATTACCTATTAATTAACTCTAAAAATATATTTGTTATATTTTGTTTATTTTTTTAACGTTAGATCATACTATAACCCCTCGTGAAAATCCTTAACCTTAAAGTGACGCGTATTAGAATATTTATATATATACATATATTAAGTGCAAGTATAATTCTCATTACACCATGAGAAATTAATGCTTGAAATGTGTGATTTATGTTCAATTAAAGTTATTGTGCTTGAGATTAATGGTTTAATTATTAAAGAAACCAAATATACAAAATCGGTGTTTTGAGAACTATATTCTATCCGAATTTTGTGTGATTTATTTGAGGAATTTAGATTGATTTTTGGGTAATATTTAAAGGCTGAAAGTTGTTCTTCTATGTGTCTACTAGCTCTCTGTAAACTTTTATGATTTTTAGATCTATACATAAAAAGGTATGGCCATTTTAGTATAGGCTGGTCTTGAAGCATCACTACTTGGAATATTTTTGGGGAAAGAAAATTCTGAGTTTAGGGAGAGGGATTTTTGAAAATTTAATGTAAAGAAATGTGTTTAGTTACTTGAACTAGATTTTTTAGGGTGTTTAGTTACTCTAACCAATTAATTAGGACACCTAAACCCTCATAATTAATGAATTAAAGCCGACTCACTCTAAACCTCTCAAACCTCGCCACCCTCTCTCTCATAACTTACTAATAACCTTCCACCCTCCCAAATAAAATCAAGACATTTGTACACTTAATTGATGCTGAGATTTTAAGTATGTATATATATAGAATAAGTGAGAATGGAAGAAAAATTTTAGGCAGCCCATAGCTACACAAACAAGAGAGAAGAACGACAAGGAAATAGAGGAAGAGAAAGGAAAGAAAAAAAGGAAAGAGAAAGGAGAAAAAGAAAGCAAAGCCAAGAAAATTCTAACCATACCTAAGCTAGGTAAGTGGGTTACTTTTGGCTTGTTTATACCATTTATTTAATCTTTATGCAATTGATTAAAAATGTGTTTAGGTAGTGATATGTTGTTGTGATTGGTTATGTTGATTGATTTTCCTTGCAAATCTTATTGATATGGTTGGTTGTATTGATTGGTTATGTTGGTTGCTTCCCAAAATTTAGAAAGCCTTGTATATGGTTAAATTCATATTTGGGGGATGTGAATGATGGAATTGGGTTACATAAAACATGGTGAGTGAATTTGGGATTGATATGGACTTAGACAAGGGAAAATATGGAGGAAGAAAAATGAAATTTTAGGGTTCTTCTTGAGTAAACTTTAGGACGAGAGCTACACGGCCTCCCACATGGGTGTGTCCTTGCTCGTATAATGAAGAAATATGTTTTTCTTCAAGTCGGAGAGTTATACAGCCTCCCACACGGGTGTGTCTTTGCCCGTGTAATGAAGAAATATGTTTTTCTTCAAATCGGAGAGTTACATGACCTCCCACATGGGTGTGTCCTTTCCCATATAATGAAGAAATGTGTTTTTCTTCAAGTCGAGAGTTACACGGCTGCCCACACTGGTGTGTCCTTGCCCCCGTAATAAAGAAATATGTTTTTCTTCAAGTCAAATAGTTACATGACCTCCCACACAAGCGTGTCCTTGCCCTTGTAATGAAGAAAGGTGTTTTTCTTTAGTCAAACAATTACACAGCCTCTCACACGTGCATTTCTTTGCTCGTGTAATTCATCGATCACTCAAAATTTACCACTTTTACTTCATACTTGCTTGGTTCCATTCCTTTCACCAAAATAACGTAATTAATGGTCAATAAGACTCAAATAGGTATAAAATGAAAATACAAAAGTATACCTTAATATGAGGGAAAAATGGATTCAAATGCTAATAATTATACAATTCAAGAGTGGAAAAATTTAATGATTAGAATTATGATAGGAAACAAAAAGAAAAGTATCCATATACATAATTATACCTATGACTCAACCAATACCATTTGTCAATATTTCATTCTAACGAGGGGAATATGATGATAAAGGGTATGAGTATGCTCGAAACCCTATGTGGGTTGGACCTATAAAAATATTTCATGATGATAAGGGGTATGAATATGCCCGAAACCTTGGGTGGGTTGAACTTATGAAAATATATGAAGTTAAATCCTAAATAGGTTGAATATGTTTAATATGGTACACATAACATCACGTGCATCATATGCATTATGGGGCAGTATGAAGAAAAGTCAATTGATTGAAAATTGGTTTACATGATTAGGTTTGGTAACCTAATAAGAAAAATAGGTATTAGCAGTCCAATTGTGTGCATACTCTAAGCTATATGCCTTCACCGTTAGACAATAGATTCCCGCTAACGATGGCTATAACGAGGGATAATTTTGTTGTAGTAGAAGGTGATTCGATAATCACCTAGATTAAAAATAGAGTAAACTTGCTAATACCTAGGGTACTCGAAATTGAAAATTGATGAGTATGGTGGGAAGTCGGAAAAGCATTGCATATCACGTGCATCACCCCACTTACCGAGCTTCGAATCACCTCATTGTTAGTTGCATGTTATGATAAGTAGCGGTGATCGTAATACCGATAAGGACATTACCGGATCCTCTAAAAGGGCTCGGAGGTGACACAAACCTTAGGGGATTTTATTTTGATTGTAATTTCTTCTGCTGTGAATATTCTTATAATGTACTTTTGTATTATACATATTTCAATATATAGTATGTTGTTACGATACCGACATGGACGTAGTCGATTTAAATCGGGTTTGATTCGTCGGCGTGACGTACTCCTCGCCTAGCCACTCCTTTTGGGTAATTGACAAGTGGGCCGGGGTGGTTTACGTCGTCCCCTACAATCATTAAAAGATCACATTTCGATAATCATGGATGAGTATCACCATCCGAGGGTAGTCCATTAGGATCTCCTATCGGCATCGATCGTGAGCCTCTAACGACATGCCTTTTTCATGGATCCCACGACTCTTACAAGTCATAGAGCCGGCATATCCGCATCGGTAGGTGTTCCTACATTGGCACCTAAGATTCCACCGTCGACCTCCGAGAATGGCCCCTCCGATCACGTATCTAATATTTCAAAAAGTTGTCATAGCTTCTTCGATCGACAACGTATTGTTTCTATTGATCGAGGATAATATGTATTTATTTTTTTACTTAAATATGTAACTTCAATAATTGATTTGTTGTTTTTAATATTTTTTTATTTTTTTTTCAATAATTTGATTTCGTATCCTAGAGATTATGCTATGAGGATCATTGAGCTTTTTAAGGAATGGGTAGACAAGAGTGGATCGTCTTGGAAAGGCGTCATTGGCGTCACTAAAGACTTCTACTTTAGTCAATTTCGAGTAATGTATTATTAATTTTCTTTATAATTAAAATAAAAAATTTCTTACACAAATTATATAAATTTTTTTGTTCGTGCGTAAATTTTTTGATTGGGAAGAGGATATCAATGTGCTTGTTAGAGCGGCATGGAAAGGTGTCGTTAGGAAACGCTATACCGGCTTTATCTACAAAATGAGTAAGAAAAACGACCGACCTATTTTTGTTTTCCAAAAGGTCTTAGATGCGTGGTGAGCAGATTTTAGGAGATCCGATCGCGTGGGTCGTTCGGATCGAGCTTCGCGGAATCGATTATCGGAGACTCGGTGGTCCCGGGGCAAGTCCTTCCAAGCATACGAGAGGGCTCCATATCTTCAAAAGAGCACGTCCGTCATTTGGTAAATTTCACATTCTTTATTATTATTGATTTATTTCATTGAATTTTATTCTCATATTACCCGTAATGGATTTTTTTAGGTAGTAAAATTAAGTCGTCGACTAACAAGTTTTGATTTGTTCAAGACAATTCATAAACGACGAGATTGTTTAATCATCGATCTATGCTCCCAACAAAAAATGGTAAGTGTTTTTCAATAAAAGTAATAAATATGAAAAGATAATCCAAAATTTATTTTAATCCTCTAATGATGATATCATTATTTTGATTACGTAGGAGCATGTGGAGCAACTTATAAATGAGGCGAGTTGTGACTCAAAGTGGCGAAGGAATTTTAGAGCCGAAGTTGATCAACATGTCATGTACCTCGAGGCTATTGGGGAGAAGAAGAAAATATTTTATGGTATAGGCATATAGTTGGTGCATTATTTATCCTAGTCGAGTGGTAGCAACTCCTCCTCTACGACGTCACATTACACCACCGATCCGACTAACGAAGAGCTTCGGAGGGACTATGATGCTATGAAGAAAGTGATGAAGGAGATGCAGGTGATACAAGATGAGCTTTAAAGCTAGGTGGGTAGAGTAGCGTGACCGGATCTTAAAGCGACGGAGCCGGATCTCGGAGCGGCATTAGACTATTTATAGTCTAAAATCTCGATACGAGTCGACGACATCCTTAGTCACGAGGCTAACACAAATAATTGGGGTGCCTATAGATCCATCGATCGATCGGCAATCTACCATTCCTTCCACTCAGCCTCCGGTTTAGCCTCCGATCAACCCTTCTACACGGTATCGGGACGAGGATATGGGATTAGACGAGTAGGATAATTGATAGAGTATTTAGTCACTTTTTTTTTCTTTTCTTTTTTATGGAACGTATTCTAGAATGATATTGTTAATATTATTTTATTTTTAATATATACATTATTACTTATAATTTTTAATTATTTCATGCCATATTAATGATTTAAAAACAATTAAAAAAATTTTCAAAAAATTTCGCAATGGAATAACGATGGAATGGCAACAAATTTGTTTCTAAAATTAGTGTTCAAATAACGATGGATTAACGACAAATTCGTTTTCAAAAGTAATGACCGAATAGTGACCAACTAGGGATAAATTCATTTTCAAATTTAGAGACGTAATAACGATGGACTAGCGATAAATTTACTTTTAAAATTAGTGACGGAATAGCTACAAAAGAAACGATAGATCCCATAACAAGATTAGCGATAGTTTTTTTTTGTATAGCGATAGATTTTTCGTTATTAAATATTGCGACGGACTAGATTTTTTATCGTAAAAAATTAGTGACAAGCAAAATAGCGATGAAAAATTTTTCGTCGTTATTCACTATTAGTGATGAAATTTTTTTTGCTAATTGCTATTTTTTTATAATGATTGTGAATATTAATATTAACACCTAGATGTAATTCGATCACCGCTATCGCTAATAGCTCATCACCCCTGTTGTTGTCCGGAACCACCGCATGGTTGGATTTTTCCCTACCGTCTACATCTCCCATCAAAGCCTTCATTGACATGACCTTAGTGTTGCCATCATAGATGTTGCTCGAACCACCGTAACCGTAAATACTTTCCATAAACCTTTTTTTAAAGAACTCCCAACCTCTAAATTGCCTTTCATAGAAGAATGGTCACCATTTACCAAAGACAAGTCTCCCTCTTCTTTCAATTCTTCTAGAACTACAAGATGATTAGAGATCACTAGAGCAATAATATTCTATTTACCAAGATTCCCTTCACTATAGTAATCTTAAGAACTCCTATCATTCCTATCTTCCCCGACTCCCCCAATATCCCCCAATGAATGCTTTAGATTGGATGCACCCAATCGGTTAGTTTGTTTATCGCACTCAACTTTCTCTATCATCGTATCGAACACAATACCGTGGTCTTTCGTCATATTCTTCAATGGTGATCGATGTATTGGTTTTTCGTTTATTGACTCTAATCTACCGGTTATTGCCTTTCTAAGCCACATCTAACTTTTTCCCTATTATTTTCACGTTGTAAGTTCTACATCTTGATGTCTACTCGCCTAAATTCCTCTTGATTTTTTCCTACATATATCTTCATTATGGCTAATCAAACCACATATATTGCAGTAAACCAAGTTGCCTTCGTATTCTAACTTTTGCCAAAAACCTTGCTCCTTCTTATTCTATGTTTTCCCACCTAGACTTTACTAGCCATGGTTAAGAAACATTAACCTCCATATAAATCCTAGTGAACATAAGGTGAGTAAGAGCCATAGCCTTTTCATCGACCCTCAAGAAACCACCAATCCTCTCTCCTATTCATTTGGGATATGATGGGTTAAAATATAGCAAGTGGCAAGTGAGGTAATCTAACCTAGACTATGATGATAGGTTATCCTTTCAAACTAGAAATTTAGGTTCCATCTGAACACTCTATACATATAGTTCATAATCTTATGGTCTTCCTTTGATAACACCTAATTTAAATCAACTTCGATTCTAGCTTAACCATAACATGCCTAGGATTAAGTAACCCTATCTATTATTCCCCTTTAAGATTCCATAGTCTCCGAATATGAAGATATCCTTAATCGTTGGTATCCCTATTGAGAATTTCAAAACTAACGTATGGTTAAACCGAGCGGCTACCATTTCTAGTTCCATTAAAGAGAAGAAGCAAACTGGTTTTGAGTTAATATAAGTACATTACCTAGTAACCGGAGGGATTTGTTTGAGTGGGTAAGGTTTTTGTGGTTTGGGGTTCGTGCTTTGATCATTTTGGTAAGAAATAATCTTTGCATAAGACGAACCAAGTTGGGATGTTTATATGAATATTACCCTAAGAGATCTTGTTTTAGGTTATGGCATTGTTTACCTTACTAGTGTCCGCCTTCAAGTTTTGATTTGTATTGTTTGTCCAAACAACAATCTCCCCTATGGTATGGTCCAGCTCGATCAACCACTAAAATTAAAGTTGTATTCTAGGTCCGTCCTCGTTAAGGGGGAGGATGGGGCAGACAAAGGTATGATCGTGGATTATTCTTTTCCTTTCTTATGATTCCTATAAGTGTGCTCTTATTTTTTCAAAGATAGGGTTTTAAAAACATCAAACTCTATATTTAATTGATTTCATGTTGAATTGGTTATTGAATAATCCAGGGTAGAATTTGGTGTTATAGATATTTTATTGTTCTTGATGTTTATTCATAAAAACTATTTATGAAAGTGAGTAATGAGTAAGTATTTGATGATTCATGTTTTTTGGAAACTTGTGTTTGTGTTGTAATTATTCAGCCAACTTTAATTGGAATGATTTAATGTTGTTTTCATGTATTATTTGCTTGGTTGGTTATGTGTAGAGTTATATCTTTGCAATCACATCATGCCATGGTTTTTATAATGTTCATGTTTTCAAAGTTAAAAATCAAGTGCATAGTTTTCAAAAAAATGGCTAGACATGTCCAAATCATAGTCACAAGCTCATTCATGGCATATAAAGAGAATGATCTGGTGAATACACTTTGTGGGAGTCACATGTTTCACAAGAAAATCGCAAGTTTCACAAGGGATATGTCTAATGCTTTTCATAGTTTTCACAATCATGATTTTCATGAAGGGTTGAATAAATATACATTTGGCATGGTGTGTTCAATCACAAAAAATATATTTTCAAAGTCATGAAAATGTATTTCATTGCTTCAAGCATACATGACAACACTTACTAAACGTAAGCTCATCAAGTTATCTTGTGATGTGGTAATCATCGAAAAGCATGGCTCAACACAAAGTTGGTCATGAAGCTAGAAGGAAAGGAGCTAAAAGTGCTTGTGAAAGTGTCTTGTAAATTTAGTATAGGTTTAACCTATTTTGTCAATTTAGAACATGAATGAATAAATAATTATTTTGGGATGTTTACAAATTAATTAAATTGTTTGGCGAGGTTAATTGATAGTTATTCAAAGAATTCATTTAATCAAATGGAACTTGGATGTTAAGTTAATAAAAGGGTTAAAGGATTAAAATGGATAGATGATTTTTAATTGACATGGATTGATTAAATAATTAGAGTTTTCTAAATTGAAATTGGCTTCCAAAAGGCTAAACAAGTTAATTAGCTTCTAATGAATTAAATTGAGTTTTCAATCAAGTTAATTGAAATGGACATTTTAAATGATAATTAAATATATAAAAGGCCAAATGGATTATTTTTATTAAATATGAATTATTTAGGAAATAATGGAATTAAAGTTAATAAGTTTGTTAAACAAACAAGGCTAAACTTGATCAATTCACATTGTTGACTAAATTAATTATTCAAATTGAATAAAAGTTATTTAAAGAAATTTAAAAGGCCAATTGCTTAATTTTTATTTAAATTTTCATTTTAAAATATTTAAATTGAATTTTATAAGTATGAATTTTTAGGCATATTTATGGGTTAAAATATTAACACATATTAAAAAAGGAAATCTAAATAAATTGTGAAGTTATAATAATTATGTTCATTAAATGAATATAAGTTGGAAAAATTTCATACCCATTTTAATTAAAAGGTGGACCTATATATATATATATATAGTAAGCTTTTACGACATATGTTAGTTATTTAGATGGATAATGACACGAGACTTAGTGTCTCATACTCATTGCACTAAAAAATATGAGGCACTAATGGTAATAATCTCGATCGTCTTAGGTCTTAGGTCGAGGTGTTATAATTTCGCACCTAAAACAAGCCTAGACACTCCGTCAATCCCCAAAGTACCTAGACTAATTCTTGGTTAGAAGATCACAGCCAATAAGCCTTAATCTCTACCCAAAATTTTCTATATCATAACCCCTAATATACACCAAGATAGCTAAAAATCATCCCAGCGACCCTCATTCCCACACTATAAATAGAGGAGATATCCATATACCAAGACAAATAGGAAAAGGAAAAGAAAATATTGCATAAATAGAGAAAAGCAAAAAAAAAAAAAGAAAAAAAATCTTGGAAATTTTTTCTGGAACCTTAGGTAGATTATGGAGTTAACTTTTGGCTAGCTTTTCTCATCAATCCTCTAACCAAATTCTTTAATTTCAGTTTCTACTCGTAGGAGGTATGTCCCTTTACACCTTTTTTTTTCTTTAATTTTTTTTTATGTTGTTTTTCTCTTCGCTTCCATCGCAAAATCTAAAAATATGACAGTAGCATTATGGGTTCATGATCTTCATGTTCATAATTTTAATTTTTGTTTTACTATTCGATCCTTATGATTATTTGGTTATTTTATTATGGTATTTTTTATAAAAATATATTTTACAATCGAGTCCCTATCCCTCAACTTAGTTGATAATACCATAGTTATTTACTTAATTTGATATAATTCTTGATTATTTTGGATTAATAAATTAGTTAATTGGATAGTGTGACAAGTTAATTAATTGAAAAAACACATAAAATGGATTAAATTAAAACTATTTTAGGAAATAGAGTTGTTTTGTCTATTCATGATTTACGTAAGTTGTTTATGTTATTTTAATCTAAATTTTTAGTATGTTGTAAATAATCATGTCTTTTAATTTTTTGTCAAGTTTTTATAATTTTTGAGTTCATTTGGATATCTATTTAAATTTGATTAGTTTATTAAATTAATTAATAATAAGAATTAGGTGACTAATTTGATATAATTGTAAATTGGACAAGTTTGTGACATGATAAAAAATTGGAATTTTGGCATGTTTTAAATAAGAATATATTCTGATTGTGAACAAAATTTTAGATTTTTTTTTTTTTAGGAACTTGAATGTTCATCTATTTTTTTTTTTTTTGTTTTGTTTAATACTACATAATCAAATAATAAGAATTATGGGGGCTGATTTGATTTAATTGTAAATAGGCAAGTTTCTGAAATGATAAAAATTTGAAATTCTAGTATGTTGTATGCTTCTAATTGTGTACAAATATTTAGATTTTTTAAAAAAATTTTGAATGTTCATCTAATTTTTTTTATTAACACTAAGTAAAATAATAAGAATTAGAGGGCTAATTTGATTTAATTGAAAATTTGGTAAGTTTTTGAAGTGATAAAAATCTAATATTTTGGTATGTGATAAATAAGTATTTTTCCTAATTATGTACCAAGTTTTTATAAATTTTTTATAATGTCCGAGTGTTCATCTAAATTTTCTTTATTTAATGCCATACAACTAATTATAATTAATATTTTTAAAATATATTTAATTAAATCTGAAATTCTCTTATGTAGTATATAAGCATGTTTTCTAATTGTGTACAAAATTTTAGAATTTTTAGAATATGTATGAATGTTCATCTCATTTGTTTTTATTAATACTACATAAAATAATAAGAATTATGGGGCTGATTTGATTTACTTGTCAATTTAGCAAGTTTCTCATGTGATAAAAAGCAAATATGCTTTTATGTGGTAAATAAATATGTTTCCTAATTATGTACCAAGTTTTTAGATTTTTTTTAGGATGTTTGAGTGTTCGTCTGAATTTTCTTTGTTTAATGCCATATGATCAATTATAATTAATATTTTTTAACCATATTGAATTAATAACTTCTTTTCATTTATTTAGAGTCCAAATTCATA